CTTCAAAACAAACCCGAATTGTGCCGCCTCGTTTCTGGCTGTCTCGGCTTCTGCCAGGTTGCCTTCACAGTGACAGGGGACGCCCCCAAAGGGCAGAAAAACGTGTTGCGTATGTTGCATGTTGTGCGTTTGCCTTAGAACTGGCTGAGGACCCAGAAAGCCAACTCTGGCCTTCGCGCACTCACTTGTCACAAACTGCAATGCCCACGCAAAACTCAGAATTCAGAAGTAAGAAGTCCCACTGGTCCCACCCACACCAAGCGACCCAAGCCCATCTCTTTGCCTTGACAAAGAATCGCTGTTGCGGCCTCAGTGCAACAGCAAGCGACGGCAGGAACACTCGCCTTGGGATCCATTTGGGCACTTGACAGCGACAGCCAGCCACTTGTTCCCGGGGATGGCCCTCGGGGGTGTGGCTGCGATGCTGCGCACATCTTTGCCCAACCTTCTTCAGTGTGCCGTTCCGTTCCTTGTCGTCCGAATGTCTGTGTCTGCGGACCGAGCCTGACCATCTGGCGCGAATCCTTCTCTAACGAGTCCAGACACGACTCGGATCCAGGCCGTGCGCTGCGACGCGCTTGCCGTCCCCATCGCTCAACGCTCGGTCTCAGCTCATGATAGATTGGTCCAAGCTGTGCATATGCGACTTTTTTACCTCTTGTTTGCATGTCCTGCTCTTGTGAGGAGGTTATCTGAACTTGAGATCCTCAATCATACCTCGCCTCTTTGGGCCGACAGAGCCGTTGATGCAGCCGGGAAGCACAACAGAAATCAGCAGCTGTGATGGTTGGCATGGTTTTCTTGGTTTGCTTGGTTAGCTTGGTACGAGGAATTACGAGGCCGTGCCCCACCAGCTCGTGCGACATGCAAACTTGCGGAGCTGATGAGAGCAGGGGCGGGTGCACCAGCTCCTTGGTTGGAGCCTCGGCTGTTGGTCCGACGAGCAAGATACACAGCTGTCGCTCGGACAAAATAAGCCTCTGACTTCGAAAAGCAGGGACCTTTCGCAGTCTTGGCAACACGCCACAACAGAAAGCAGCGAGCATCCGAGTCAAAGACAAAGGTCGGACTGACATATTGGTCTCCACCTGAATGCGCCAAATCGTGCGTTTTGAGTCTGTGTTACAGAACGAGGACATTCGACAGTGCTTCTGCCTCATGTCTTCCGACGCCTTAGTACATCGGAGGTGCATTTGTGAAGCAGGCTTTGCCCTTGGCTTGCCCTCGGATTGCCAGGCTACTTAGAGAGTATGCGGACGGAGCGCGGAACGGTTCTGAACTGTGCGCGCTTGCAGAATTCAACCGAGATCAACAGACCGTGATGGTCCATCGAGGAGATTCCCTTGTTCCACTGAACTTTCCACATGGTTTTCGGAAGGACTTTGTGCTCGCACTCAGGAACAAGATTCATGACATGAATCTACACATTGTGTTTTTCTCGTTGAGGTGAGGGCTCATGTCACCTCTCTCCCAGCCCCCACTTTTTCGGAGGGTCCGATGACATCGGGCCAGGTGTTGCCAAGCAGAGCGAAGCCTCCTTGTGAGCCCTGCAGTACTATCCAAGGTGCAGGGCCCGCGCGATTTGCCGAGCGCTCTGCAGTGGCTCGAAATTTGGTCGGGTGAGAAGCCACCTTTGTTTGGTTCTAGGCCTCACGGCTGCCCAAGCACAAGAAATAACACACACACACACACAGGTTTCGCGCAACAGCTTTGGGAGCCTCAGCATACCATTTTCAAATGTTTTCAACTTGACCCTCGCGCACGCCCAATTTCGCAAGCACAACTTCGAGCACCAGACTTCACGCGACAATCTTCACGTGGCAAACTTCGCGTACGAACGTCGCACGTCCATATCGCAACTGCAAACTTCAGCACCGGTTCACCACGGAAACAGTGGAAGTGTGCCGCGTGCCGCGGCAGTAGAAGTGTGCCGCGGCGTTCGGGTTGTTTTTGGGCATGGTCATTCTGCGAAGGACGCTTATAGCACTTATATGGTCTGCAAGGCAACAATCGAAGCAAACGTCTGTCGCATGGAATCTCGGCACAACACGAGGTTGGCAGACATAAAACGCTTTACGACGATTTAGCTGTACTTCCGCCCAAGGTCTGGCACTTCTCCACTGGTCACTGGACATCTTTGTGAGTTTTTTCAAGCTGTCGTGCTGAAAACCGGCGAGGTCTGGCTGCGAGGGAATTCCGGCAGAAAGAACGAACAGACGACAAGCATTTAAGAATTGAATCGAACCTTGACACTTGTGAAAATGCCAGAAACTTCCTGCAAAGCGGCGCACACTTGCATTGTTGAGGTTGCATGGGCACTCGCCTAAAGAACATGTTGTAATACTGCAGAGCTCTGAGTTTGGAATTCTGGTGTTGTTCGCACTACCTATCGCGTCTAGCCGCAGCTTGGTCTGAGATGTTTTACTTCATTGCAGAATGAATTGGACCCATGCGATTGCCAAGCGTTTTTTCCAATATTCTTTCAGCTGGTTGTTGTCTCACAGATCACGGTTTGTTGGCCCTTTGTGCAAAAGCCGATCCGGCACAATCTAACAAATTGTGCAGTTGCAGCAGGTAGCAACAAAACATCACAAAACAGTAACAGCAAGCGCAACTTGCAGAGCAACTTGCAAAGCAATGCTCAGCCGATATGCCACAAGACCATTACAATATCTAAGTGAGCTGCCAAGCACGAGCGGAATGTTGTTCACCGCCAGAAGAACCAGCCCCGGCCGTAAGTCATCGAAAATCGAGGCGCAGCTACCTTCGAGAAACTTCCACAGACTAGCTGACGTGCCCTGCTACCCTTTGACGTTTAGACTTTGCCTTTGGCTTGCATTAGCAGCAGATTCTAAACGAGCGGGTCTTCTTGTTTAGCATCTCCAGTGAAACCAACAGGCCAATGAGGGCCTCGGCAAACACAACCCAGTAGCAATACCACTTCACGCTGACACACATGCATCCGCGCTCCGCGTTCTCCCCCCCCCGCACCCCCCCTCCCGCCCTGTGGTGTCCCCCCCCTGCTACCCCCCCCCCCCCCCCCCCCCCCCCAAACCCTGCCCGTTAACAACCCACCACGAACGACAGGAATGGAGCGGGGAAACCCTAACCTTTTTAGCCAAGTCACTCTCTGCCCCACGGGCTTTCGAGAACAGTGTGGGGAGCAACAACAACGAGCAAAGCTATTCAAAGCTCGAGACCAATTAATTCAGCTCTTTCGGTGGCGAATCAAGCGTTGTTTACTCGGGCCTCCTGCAAACCGAAATATGGGTTCCCGCATGTAGGCTTTGCTTCTGGCTGGTGCCAAAATTGGCCAGAGTCTTCTAACGGAAAACCTGAGCTTCCGCAGCTACACAGCGCCTAAAGGAGCCGCAGCTCAACTGGTACCTAGTGTCTCAGAGATCATTTGCGCTCAGCCAGTATGCTTTGTAGAGTTTGAAGCTTGAGCACACAGGCCACCTGGGACAACGCCAGAAAGTACTGGGAGAGCCATGGACCAGTCGACCTTGGTAGACACCCGCATCCACGCCGAGCAAAGCCAAAAGTGCCTGTCAAGTCTCGTACGACGAGACCCATGGGAAACTCTCCTGGCTGGAAGTCCACCTCAAGCTTTTCTGAGGTCCCTTCTCCCTTGCTTGGTGCCAGATGTTCTGTACCCTACAGATCCCTACAGCACAGCTGTGCCTCGACAAAGCCCTGGTCCATCTCCATTTTGCGCTTGCGCGACGCATCTGGCGGAGGTCGAGCCTCAGCTGATCAGTCCTCTAGCGGGCTGCGCATCTGCAAACGACCTCTCTCGAAAGCATTCGAAAGCCTACAGAGTCTTTTGGTGTTGAAGGCTTCTTGAGGCACAAGCCTTGATGATGGCATCCATTGGCAGCCTCGTTGAAGGTGCACATCAGAAGCTGTACACTGAGCGTGCGGCACAAACCCACAGGACTATCGAAGTTCGGACACACATTGAACAAAAGGTCAAGACGCAGCTGAATAAGAAGATTCGGAACGAATCCGCCGACCCTTGCAGTAGCGGGGGCGGGCGTCCGTGAAAGCCCATGATCGGGCGAGCGTTTGGGGGTCCAGAGTGGGGTCCGGAATTAAGTCAAGTCTCCGGATGTCACACCAAAGCAGGTGCATCCAGCTTAGCTTAGCTAGCTTTCGTGACTATTTTGCGGTTCCTTTGCCACAGCGTCGTCCCCGAAATGCACCTAAAGACTAAGGACCAGTTGCTCGCAAAAGAATGACAGAAGTCATCACGAGGCGCCTGAGTTCTCCATGTTTTCGCCTTTCCAAGGATCAACAGGCTTATTCTTGTCAAGACTCATCAGATACACAGCTTGGCTGATCAAACTGGCCTCGGCGGCTCTTGAGCATCTGGCGACATTGGCTTCACCTGAAGTCTTAAAATTGTATGGAATGTGGTAATGGGCTGCTTCTACACTGTTCCGGGTGGATGATCCTCAGGCCGTTGCGGTGTTCTTGGGTGGAGCTGCGGCAGGCACCATTGCTGTGGCAGCTGCCGCCATTTCGTCGGGTGCACGAGGGCGAACAGTACACAGTATACAATGCCGCGCAAAAGGAAGGGATCATGGCTGTTACAGGCGATGCATTCTGACTCAAGCAATCCTGTTAACTATACTTTCCGGAGCAGTCAGAACTCGCCCGACAGAGTACAGTGAGTAAAGCTCATTCGTAGGTCGGGAGAGAGAAGTAAATTGGTTGGAGAAAGGCTTTGGTCAAGAGTTATGGGTGTTCTAGGGGCTCTGGGATCGGGAGTTGTCGCATCTGCAAACATCATGTGTTCTTTGCGATTGTTGATGACAACTCTTGCTGTGGCACCCTGGCACAGCTGCTTAGCAGCGTGCTGGGGGCTTTCCGAGCCACCATTGCAGGGCGCCAAAATCAGAGTCTTGAAGCCTGTGCACTCTCTTCGCCTATCCATGAGTCAAGGCCATGATGCTGTGATGTGCTGTGGAAAGAGTGCCAAGGCCGACAGCCGTTGCCTTTGCAGCGAGAGTGCACGGTGCCCTCCTGCGCTTGTAACCACCTTAGCAGGCTGAGGATCTTACGAAGGTAGAGCCATGTGTCCACCAGCTAGCAGCTTCAAGACGAATGTCAGGGGAAGCAACGAGCTCTTTGGGTACGTTTGTTCTTGCAGGCGACGGCGCGTACAAAAAATCACACCACGTACGGTAAGTTCCTTGGACCCTCTGCGAGCTGGCAATGGCGAACTTTCTGGGTGCATTTATTTTGGCTTTGGTTTCTGTAGCTTCCAATAAACCGCCGCTGTTTTTCTACATCCACTAGGATAGCCCCCATTCCTCCATATTCTATCGTGCCTGGTTTCTGCTAGTTTTCTTTTGGGGGGGGGGGGGGGGGTTACGTCATTCTTACTGCGCCCACTCCGACGCATCGGCCTTAAGAACACTTTCGGGGTCTTCCATAGTTTATCCCTATTGTTATTGAAAGTTAGCGTTTCGCCTAGGTGAAATGCTTCTTTTGGCAGAAAGAAAACAAGGGTGATTTTGTATGACGTTTTTGCGAAACATTGGGTTTTTGCAAATTGTTCAGGTCGTTTTGTTGTTGGGGCCTTCAGCGAGGCCCCAACAACAAAACGACCTGAACAATTTGCAAAAACCCAACGTTTCGCAAGAAAAGACATACAAAATCACCCTTGTTTACTTTCTGCCAAAAGACGCATTTCACCTAGGCGATACGCTAACTTTCAATAAAAATATGGGGTACAGCGCTGAAGGCCGCAACAACAAAACGACCTGAACATGTTTTCGAAAAACGCAACGTTTCGCATCAACGGCATACAAAATCACGTGTTTTTTTTCGAAGCCATACCGTGAATCGACTATACGTCAACTTCAAGACACGGCGTTGGCGCAGCAAAAAGGAGGCTTACCCTCTGCAAACGCTTTAGAACTGTCTTTGCAAACCGTGTTTTTAAACCTGCCAAAATAAGCACTTCACCTAGGCGAAACGCTAACTTTCAATAAACATAGGGTACGGTTTCAACGGCGGCGGGATCTTTTAGTCGGGAAATGTATAGTGTATTCTTTGAACAAGCAAGAACATGCAAGCTATCGAGTTGGAGAGAATCCACGTGAAAGTCGAATTCAACTAACTAAATCATCAAGTTCCTTCAGTATTCATCCGCTCAGCAGAATCAAACTTTGAGGTCGCCTTTGTTTATTTCACATGTTTTACCCCGTTGTATCCGCCCATGTATCCGCCGAGGCCTCGGGCCGGAGGTGTAGAGGTTGTCAGAACAGGCACCCCCCTCCAAATCCCACACCCAAAACCATTTTTCGGACCCCTTTTTTTGCCTCAAATGGGCCCCGCCCCTAAGAAACTGTGGTCCCCAAGCGGACGGTTCGCCAGGACCAAAGGCAGTTGAAGCCCCTCCCAGCAGCGCCCCCCCGCCCCCACCCCCTACCCCCCCCCCCTACCCCCCCCCTAACCCCCCCTAACCCCCCCCTCCCCCCCTCCCCCCTCCCCCTCCCCCCAACCCCCCGTCCCTTCCCCCCTCCCCTCCCCCCTTCCCCCTCACCCTACATCAATCCAAGCCAAACCGTCTTGAACCCTAAAACCCAAAAAAACGAGAGTGCGTAAAAAGAGCCTGCGGATATTCAAGGTAACCCCCCCCCCCCTCCCCCCCCCCCTCCCCCCTCCCCTCCCCCCCCCCCCCCCCCTTCACCCAACAAAACCCCCCTCCCCCTTCCCCCCCCCCCCCCCTCCCTACAAAGAAAGGGGGGCCCCCCCCCCCCCATGCTCAATTCCACATTTCCTCTGCCATGTTTGGTAGGATTCCTATTGCTTTTTATTCGGAATCCTTTTAATTTCAAGAGGATTTCTATTAATGTAACAAGATTTCTATTTGCCTTCTTTTTTCGTAGCATTTCTAATCGGACTTCTACTAATTTTTAATAGCAGTTCAATCAATTGTAATAGGAGTTGAACTTAATTCGACAAGGATTTCTATTATTTCAATACGAATCCCGTTAAACCTAATACAAATCTTATTAGAAGGGATAAAAATCTCATTCATATTATTAGAAATCTTTCACAAGTAACAAAAACCCGATTAGAATCAAAAGAAGTCCTATTAAAACGTTAATTAAAATCAAGTGAAACCCTATTAAGAACACTGTTATTGACCAAGGGGGGGGGGGGGGGGGGGGGCCCCCCCCCCCCCTTGAACAAAGGGGGGGGGGGGGGGGGGGGGGGGGGGGCCATTGAACAAGAGAGGGGGGGGGGGGGGAGGGGGGGGGGGGGGGGGGCTGGCTTATGTTCCCGCAGGCCGCAGTGGCGCGCACTATCAAAAAAACCCTAAACCCCAAAGCGTGAACCTTGAGCCCTAAGCCCTCAATCCTAAACTAACCCTCAACCCTAAACCCCAAACCATAAACCATAAACCCGGAACCCTAAACCCTAAACCCAACCCTTATTGCTTGGGATCCAGCGACTTGGGCGCTGCGGAATCACCATGCTCACGCGGATACGCTGGGCCGGGCCGAGGCGGGTCGCGTAGCGTTAAAACTAAACAGGCTCCAAGTACGCTATGTTGTTTACAGTTTGAGCTTGAGGAAACTTGCAAATAACACAACTTTCATTCGAATTAGATACCATTTGTTTGTCACAAAATTAGCCCGAAGTAACGAAGCTTCTTGGTGACATGAGTTTATTTTATTTGTTTCGCCCTCCACCCCCCCCCCCACACAAACAAAATGTAAAAAAAACTATGGAAAACTATATACGAGCAAGAATATGTAACTATTGCACTGAGGAGAATGCAAAAGAATTGAGATAGCTGACCTGCAAGCAAAAGAAGGAAGTGATACCTCCTGGCCTTCTTCATGTCTTCTACCTCCATTTCCTCCCTTTGGAAGCATCCCTACTGACACATGTATCAAGCCCTCTTCAATTGTTGATGAAGCCGGTGCTTCCTAATCATGCAATCATACAGATCGCATGCATGGAGATTCTCCGATCTGCAGGGCTTTCGAAAGTAGGAAGGAAGGTCGATGGAAGTCCAGGGACAGAGGGGAAGGCAAAGAACGCTCTGCACAAAGCTCACTCCCACAAACCCTAGCACCTTGGATGGTTGAGATAGTGGGCTAAACCCTAAGGGTAGTTATAGGGCTAAGGGTTGTTAAAGGATTTGGGGTCTATATCAGGGATTCCTGATTATCGTAAACCCCCATCTGGTCCCTTACCTCCTTCACAGGGTTCTGAAGTAGGGGTCCTTGGGTTGTAAAGGGTATCTTAGGGATATTTAAAGGGTCCCCTTTTAAGTGCCCATACTAAGGGACCATGTACCTACCCTAAGAACAACAAGGGAACTTTAAGGACCTGCGAAGAAGGACCCGAGGATACTTTGAGCCTCTGCGAAGACCCTCACTTTTTAGGAGCCCCCCTAGCCTTCTCCAAGCATTCGTACGGAAAGTAGGTTCAATTCCATCTAATACGACTCAACTCCATCCCGAAACATTTCTTGAGAATTGTGTCTATGCTTGCTGTGGACAAGCTTTCTCTTGCACGGATAGCCGGGTCATTTCTGGCGGCTGCAACGAGTCTCTGACATCTCTGACGTTGGAAAGCTCTGTCTGTCCTGCTAACATCTGTGCACAACGTAGCTTGTCGCTTCACGTCTGCATACCTCATATGAAAAACCAATCAAGACCTGGTCCTGCTGCAAGCTCTCGCTCTAATCGCTGATTCTCAACCTGGAGTCGGTCGCAGTTGGCCTCAGTGCAAGACGTTGGACATGGATAGTCTCAGTAGTTTCAGGAAGAACACACATGAACAACGCAAAAGAGCAGTCCCATGATCAAGTGCCAAGGCCTCAAGCAGTCGGAGCTTCTCCGCGGATATTTCCTCACAAGGCAAGAACAACAATGCACGATGCAGTCTCCCTCGAAGTATAGTTTCTCAAAACACTCTGCTCGGGCCCACACTGGTTGGGCTTTGGCAAGCTCAGCCTTTGCAAAGTCTCGCTCAGATCGATGAATCATACCACGCAAAGCATCCGCAGAGTGTTACTACGATGCCAGCAAACCACATCAGTACCAACAAACGGATCCAGGCATCATCTGCAACCTCTAAGCTTCATGATAACTTCTCCACCAAGGCCCAAGCAATTCGACGCTCCTGTGCAGTTTATGTCAGGCGGCTTTTTGCTAATTTGTCATCACGAACCTCCGGTACCTGAATCTATCTGAAGTATCGACGTGATCTTCTCCAGAGCTCCGCAGTAGTGTCTGCTGCACTTGACTGACGCATGCAAATGCGGATGACTTTTGCAGCAGGATGCCCGGCTCACAGGCGCACCAAGTCCACTATGCTGCAAGCTTTGCTCAGCTGTTCGGCACAAGAGCCTCTCATGAGCTGTGTTGCAGTGATTGTACTGATCACTGCGAGATACTGCGAGTAGATCTCCAAAAGGTCGCACGTTTTGCCGCCGCAGCTTTTTACAGCAGCGGGGCCGGGCCTCCGGAATCACATGAACGACTGCTGTTGGCCTTGGAAAGATACGGAAAAGGCACAGAGGAGATTTCTGAAAGCCAGTCACGAGGCTCTAAGACTCTAAGTCGAAGGCGGTGGTAGTAGGGAGGAGGTCTGCGGTATGGAGGAGGTGGGTGTCGATAGTAGCCTTCATGGCACACTGCTCCAAACATTCCGTAGGACGGTAGGACATGGGCCCAAGCCTGGAGGAGGCGGCGGCGGGTAGCCTGCAGCTACGACACAAACTATTATTAATGTTATTCATATTATTAATCATATTTCAATATTATTGATATTCTTACTAAGAGGCTATTGCCTTAATTGCAGCAGCCATGAGTAGCACGGATGAGCACAGGCAAGCACGATCATGCTCAGCACGCACGGCCCCTCTGAGGAAAGTTCCGTAGCCACCACCACCGTAACCTGACCAGAGCAGCTCGGCCATCAGATGCGCTGACACGCAGAATGATGCAATTGCTCAGCTGTGGACTTGCACTCGCCACGACTAGAAGGCTACAAGCCCGCCTTTCCCGCCACCTTTAGCTGGAGCTGGAGCTGGAGGAGGAGGAGCTGGTTCGGCTTCTGCTTGGTCTGCAGCAGCTTCTGCCTGCATTGACAGCTCGGGTACAGATGGGTACAGATGCAAAAGCTGCTTCAGTCTTACAGGTCCTATTACGGGCGTTCCACCTCCGACTTCTCTTTCAGCTTCTTCTCCACAACATGGCCAGCAGCACCACCAGCAGCGGCGCCCATGAGACCAGCCATTTTGCAATTCATGTTGCAGATCTCCTGATTTCAGGAGCACAGAAGATGCACAATTCGGGCCTTACCAGACACATGGAAGAGCGCGGAAAAGACCGTCAACAGCGGCACACCTTCTCGATGTAGCTCAGCTGCTTCTGCATCTTGACTTCAGGGTCCTGGCAACCAGCGGGCTACTGGAAAAGGTCGCACTTAAGAAGCTGCAACTGCAATGGACCTAGTTGAAGGTTCACCTGGAATTGCGGTGGGGGCCAGCAGCCCAGCGTGCCTTCTGATCATCAGCATCCTTCTCCTCCTTCTCGGAGCCGAATGGCATTAGATTCATCGGGTTCATGGCGCCCAGCATGCCTCCCAGGGAGCCACCTTGGTGTTGACATCTCACCACTGGGCCAAGTGCACGAAGTGCACGGTTCATGCTGACCAAGTTCTTGGCCTATGCCACCTGGGCATTTCGACCTTGAGCAAGCCCCAAAAGTCAGGTAGAATCCAATACGGTACATTGCACGGCACAATGCCAGAAGTCACCAGAAGAAGCCGGGCACCGCGCGCGCAAAGCATGAAGGCACCCATGCCGCCCGCAGCAGCACCGATACCAGCGCCCATGCCAATGAAGGACGTCCGATCCTGCAGGAGGGACATTTACTTCGATAAGGTACATAAGCTACAACGCCGGCACAATGTCAACGGGCACAATATGACACAATCATGCCTCTACGTCGGAAACGAGGAGTCCATCTTCGGTGAGTCTGGATCGCACCAGCGCATGCATCAGGAAGATCCTGCAGCACCAGCCATACTCTGCAAGTTGCTAAGATCCAGAATGTGCATGGCTCTGGTGGGTACAAACACGTCCAACTCTTTGTACACAGTGATGCACAGCTGGGGTCAAACCCTGCTGAGCTTAGGCAGCGGCTCATGCACGAAAGCTGGTCACCGAGGCTGTGGAAGCCCCCTGTGGAGACTTTGGAGAGCTTGAGCGCGTGGCCCCTTTGAGCTACGCTCAGCTCCCCGTATCTTAACTGCAGATGGCTGCGAGCCGAAAAAAATGCCCCCCGCGAGCGTATGGAATGCGACGATGTCAACCATTGTCATGGGACTGCGCTGCGCACACGTCATAGTGACGTCATCGCCTCAGCTCAGAATGGCTCTCTTCAGGCCGGGCCTCGACACCAGCTTGATGAAAGCTCCTTTCCTCAGCAAGCCCAATAGCATCCAATAGCTGAGGCTTGCGTCAACTTGCGTCTGTTGCTCGCAAGTAGCGGATGCATTGCGAAATATTGCTAGCGTTGAGCGTTTTATGAACAGCGTTGCGCTGCTAAAAGTGGGGTGACCATTGTGCGCTTTCATCCCCCCAATTGATATAATATTGCCCCGAAACTTCATACTATGCGAGACCATATTGTGCGTTGTTCTTCGCCTCGGCCCCAGCCTAAGCCCTAGCTTGGAGGCAACTTGACCCCACCGGCCGAGGACCCCGCGCCTTCTTAGAGCTTCTAAGTACCTGACTGCCTTTCTGGTTACGCCTTGCTACGCACCCCATGTCCTCACAAGCCTGAAGCCATTCTCCGAATCCCGAACCTCAAGATGCCTTGTGCGAAGGCCGCGACCTTCCAAGAACTCCGGGCAGCTTTAGCTCTGAGGCTCGAAGACAAGGGGGGGGGGGGTTGTTGTCATGGACCCCTCAAAGCCCCCCAGACCTCGTAGGCACCCCCTATGTGGCTCACCCTAGGCAGCCCCCTGTTTGCAGCCACCTGCTTCAGGCGCTCTTTGGGGTTGCCTCCGTGCTGGGCAGGCCCCGGGTCACGCAGAGTTAACATTTATGTGTTGCTGTGTTTTTATTAGCTCAGCGCTTCTCCAAGCGCTGACTCTCACGCCGAAGCTTCGTTGCCTCCTCCTGCAGCAAAGGCAGAGGCACACTGCCCACGACATGGCAGAGGGACCACAGAGACCGACACAAAGATTCTCGCGCGCAGAAAGCTCAGGCAGAGAAGCCTGCATGCGCCGGACCCATTGCTGATGCCTTGCCACAATATTCCAGGAAGAACAGAGGACGAATTGGTAGCACAGCTCGACACCTGTGCCGTCTGTCTCGAAGCTCTGCATTCACAGTAGCAGCTTGGAGGGACGCCACCTTGTCAAGAAAACCCAACTTTGGTTTCGGCAAGAGAGAAGAGACTTGCATCTGTGCCGCATTCGGCCTTGATCTGCTTGTCGGCTTCTCGAAGCTCGTCTCTTAAACTAGCAGCCTTCACAACACAATGATGTGGTGAAAGCATGCATCTATGGGGTTGCCACATATAACTACATGCACACACACACACACAGATGCATACATGTATACATCAGACCCCTTCGGGGGAGAAACGCTGCTGCGAAATCTTATGACATGACCAGCAAGAATTACTCGGAAGGGGCGACAAAGCGTGCAACAATTTGGTTCAAAAAAGTTCTCTATGGAATGCCCTGATGGGATACCCGAGCTAAAGTTGAAAGCATCAAAAAGCAACACCACGTCACTACAAAATGCATCCTTCGCAAATAAACCTTTTCGCGGAACTTCAGAGCGCCGAACCGTGCTCCGAGATTTCGTAGTGTTTGTATGGCTTGGAGTTGGGGGTGTAGGCTCATGGGAGTTGAAGGTTCAAGATTTTGTTCGGGACCTAGATTTTGCATATATGGCTTTTGAGGTTACAGGCAGAAGGGATGAGTCCGGGGGGGGGGGGGAGGAATACCTCGGGTGGGCTTACAGCCACCCCCCCTTATTTCTTGACCATACCATAGGGAGAAGCCCAGATGACCATATACCCCGTTTGATACTTGAAGGGCAGCAGCCGAGGACAACGAAAGCTAACCTGGAAGGCCGGCGTTCAGCAGCTATTCCAGGGCGCACAAATCTAGCGGCTAGGACTCCATCTGCCCGGTCCGCCCCGCCCTCCCCCCTTCTTGACGATCCCACACCCGCTTCTTAACCTTGCCCTCTTCCTCTCACCCTTTCGCCCTCGCCCACTCCTCTTCTTCTTTTCCTTCTGACCTGCTTGTTGATGTACACACAAACAATGTACACTACATATCTTGTAGACACTATATGACACCATGTACCCTAAAATCCCAGTGTGCCCTATGTGCCCTATGTATCCTATACATTCTAGATGTCCATGCAGCCGAAAAAATGCCCTAATACTCTACGCACACTAGATACATTGCAAAATTACTACATACCCCATAGATGCACTACGGAACCTGCATTCATAGAGATCGCGATCTAGACCTCCGGAGCTATCCAAAACATGCGATTGAAACATATTCGAGCACATGCGCTCGCGGAGACGTCATAAGGTGTACTTGCTTCATGCACCAGGCAGACGTACGAACACACACTCACACAGACTGCGACCTAGAGCTCAAGACCCCCGTGTAGTGCAAATGTTGAAGAAACTTGCGCTCCCACAGGTCGCGACCTGGACCCCACAAATTATACTCCAAACCACGCCATTGGCAGGAGGAGGACGTGCGAACGTCCTGCTTTGAGCAACATGCGCTCTTGGAGATCGTGATCCAGGTCCGCAGAACTCTACAAAACACGCGCTTGAGATAAGAAGACGTCTGGACACTCGCTCATACAAACCGCGATCTATAACTCCAGATCCCTGCGTAATTAATCACCCAAATATGCCCCAGAGGTGCTATTGACAGGCCTGGGCTAAATGGTCGTGTTTACTTTCGTGTGAACGGCATATTTTGAAGAACAGCGATCATAGAGACCGCGATTCAAGTCCACGGAGCTCTCGAAAAAACGCGCTCGAGTAAGAAGATGCACCAAAGGGGTTTGGTCCGGTTCCCTGCTACAAGTAGAGCAGAGATAAACTCAAGCCGATCTACTCTGGCTTTCGTGGTTGTGCAAAAACACACCCACGTATTTCTACATATCTATATGAATATGAGCTTTCTCTCGAATGGACTTTGGCTTGACACCTGATGTAACGGTTTGAGTGCCTCTGCCTGGAGCACTTCGTTGCGGGACTTGACCTGAACTCGTACAGAACAAAAACTGCTCAAACTGGCTGTTGCTATCTTTGGCCTTAGCCTGGTGGATGCCATTCAGCTCGGGCACTGGCGGCCGGGTCTTCTGCTCGAGCTGCAAGATCATCAGGGCTAGACAACTCCTGCCAGAAGTTCGTATGTTTTCGCATTAAAATGACGGCTGAGGGTTCTGCGTCTGATTCAACATCGCATTGCGAGGTCAACTGTCTGCAACGTTTCAGGGCAGCAAGTTCCACCTTGAAGGTCTTGGGCAACGACGGACATATTGGGACGTTTGGGAAGCGATCATGAAGCGACATGTCGAGGCTGTGTCGAGGTTTCAAAGCCCAAAAAGCAGAAGATCCACGAAGGCTTCCGTGAAGTAGACCCACCGCCGAAAAGTTTGCAATACTGTGGTGCAGTCTGAAGTCTGCGCACACAAACCCTGAAACTGACCATCTAGCAGCAGAGCCTCATGCCGCTCTGCACGAGGCGTTGCTGACGCCTCAGGAAACATTGCGACGCCGCTTTCGAGAAACGCGAGGTGACACGTTTCCTCACGTGCCTGTCGACGTGGTACTGACGGAGCACGCTTCAGGGTGGCAGCAGCACTGGGCGAAGAAACCTTCCGCTTCACTCCTCTGGTAGAGTTAAAGTTGGTAGCGTCTCACAACTCATAGTCTCATGGCTCACTCATGACCTGATCGCCACTGGACTTCTTCGCCTTCTGCACGAGGCTTTCTTCGTGAGGCTTGGCTCGGGACCTGACCGGTTCGACTACGCTTTGTGTTTTCAGCCTTGGCAATGACGAAAGAGATCTTGGTCAAGCTTCCACGGGATGCAAGTTCGCAGTGTCTTGGTAGTGGGACCTGTGACTGAACTGTCAGCAGGCACTTCTGCTTGTTTCCTTCTGCAATGCAAATGCTGTGAAGGCATTCGACGCTCGAGGTCTTACCTTCTTACGGGCGGTCCGCTGTTGACAGTTTTGCCAACAGCAGACCTAAAGCTACAGGTACAGGGGCATCCTATCCCAGAGGCCACCAAGCGCAACAGCGCAAACTTGGACGACACTTTGTACAAATCCACTGCCAGGTTTCGGCAGCACCTACATGCCTACTACGACATTGGCCAAATGTGCCTCTGGCAACTCTTGTAAGTCATCCTACGCCCATGCTGGGCTTTAGCTGCTCAGTGTATTCGTATGTGGTCAAATCCTTAACTATGGCTGCCTTTTGCTTGCACCTCGCTGACCTTGCCACAGCGGTCTGGCAAGTCGCAACCTCTTTTGACCGCAATTGAATGCTCTTCACATCAACAAAGGTGGCAGACATGTTTACTGTCCTGAAAGATCCTGAAACCGATGGGCTTTTGCGCCGACTGTCTTTCAGATGTTTGATGGACGACCGAAAAACTGATTGAATACATTTTAAGGTTCAAAGCGGAGGGTCGGCGTGATGTGTTCGCATGCAGTTCCGCTCGACAAAATGCTACGATGGGCTCGACAGTGGCAATCCTCGCTTGTGTGTGTCGCGTGTCGTCGTCACCATCCTCGAAACGGTCCTCGGTTTGGGATTGTCGTCGAAGCTCGAAAGTGACAGCGATTTTAAAAAAATCACGCTCGCAGCATGTCGGAGTCACCATTCTCTTGTCATGTCCCTTATGATTATGATCGCGGCATGCTCAACAGTAGCAACAGCTTCAACACAGAGTGTGGGTCGGGTTGGCATCCTCCGTCCTGTAGGGATACAGGAAATAGCTGCACAGGGCTTTCTTTGGATTTCGATGCTCCATGTTAGAGCTGTGCTTGGTGTTGTCAAGCGACACGCCTGATGCACCTTGAGTGATTCGCTTCACTGCGCTCTGCAGGACTTCAATCGCATGCTCGGATGCCCGGTTCGCGTGAATCCCTGACATGGAAGAATCGGGAAACTTTCGACCCTGTGTTGTCGAGACTATAGCAACCCTCTGGAAGTTCTCGGCCTGGATCGCGCGGGGGGTTTGCGGTCGACCCACATATGACCACATGTAAAATGCTCTAACCTCCTTGTTCAGACGACGACGACGATGAAGATGATGACACTGCTCATGATGGCGTTAGCTGCATAAAGCGCAGTCTGGTGTCTATAGCTGTTGCAGAGGCACTGCGGTTCCACTGGATAAGCAGCTCAGGACGGTGGCTGTGTCCCGCTCGCCGGCAACTCGGCACGAAGTCTTACGGGCATAAGAAAGCAGGAGGCTCAAGGAAAGCATACCGGCAGCATACCACCTGCAGGTGCAGCTGCCCTGCTTGACTGCGATTCTTAGGCTCCTACGCGTTGCTTGCCCGCCACAGCGGCAAGAGCCGTCTGTTCCCGCGTCAGAATTGCGGTCAAGGGAGACAAGGCCTGCTCCATACGTCATGTCACGACGGTCAACATGTCTTAACACATGTGCACATTTCCCGGGCTTCTATATATGCGCAAAGAGACAGGGTGTTGTTGTGTATGTGTATATATATATATATATACATATGTGTGTGTGAACATTTCCTACATGTATATGTGTGCGTACATACATACATACATACATACATACATACATACATATCATAGTAAGTATAGGCCCTACAAGCAAGCATTGGTTTCCCCGACCTTCTCAAGAAGAGCCTCAAGCTCTGAGTCGAGGGTCTCAAAACGGAGTCGCTCCTCAATGGTACAGTGCAGTTACACCTCACATTGTGTTTATGACCTTCCCAGTCCTCGTCTTGAAGACATCCCAGCAAAGCGTCTTTGATTCGAATCTGCGGAAAGTCATGCGGAATTTACTTCGTCCAGAGTGCTTCCCACTAATGTAGCGATACTGGCAGTGCTGCCGAGCACACCTGATGACGCAGAGCTGAGATCTGCAAGTCCTTGGATTGGAGCCTCAGCAACTACCAGCATCAGATGCAAGAGCCTCACAATCTCATGATGCCCTCGATGTGCCATGATAGTCTCACAGTCCTTTTAGCAGCAGAACCTTAGCCCAATACTCCCCGACGAGCTCGCGCAGCTTCGACGCACGTCGGTCCAGCAAAGCCTTGCAAGTGCGTCCGCTTTGGCTTAGTAAAATCGAAAAAGAAAGGGCTCCATCCATCCTGCTGCTGCTTCATGTCGATCTGCATGGCTTGAAGAGCCTGCGCCTGCACTTGCACCGTCGCTTGCACTGCGACTTCTGCCACTTACATGTAGCTATGGGACAATCAAAACCAAATTCTACAAATTCAACTTCTTAAAGTCTTAAGAAGTTTCCGAAGGTCCTAAAAAGTTTCCAAAGATGGACCACCCCTTGATCTCGGAGCGACGAGGTACTATGACTTCACTTTGACTGAGTGAGCCCACAAAGGATTCGAGCCTCTTGCTTGGATGCCCTGGCTTCCGCGTCATTTAAGGCCTCAGAGGAACAGTCATGAACAATCTCAGTATATCTCAGCCTCGCTGGACGGTTGCCACTGCTGGGTCGCTCGCATCGGCAATGCTCGCCTAAAGCTGACGTCGTGCATGCAGGAAAGTATTCAGCCCCACGCAAAAGCACACTTCACAAGAAAGACCCACACAAGAGCGCCGGTTCCACAACCTCAGCGACTCAGCGATTCGCAGCGGTGACTCGACATCCGTGGCTTTGTGCAAATCTGGCCCCGGGCTGTGCTCGAGAGAGGCGCTGCCTTCACCCCCTGTGTCGCCAGTGCCTGCAAGAAGCGGAGAGCATGTCTCAAGCAGTGTCAAGAGCAGTGTCAAGCAATGTCAAACTGCATCTCTCTCCTAGGTGGGCGACCTGCAACCCACAGCACGTCTTCAGCTCTTGCAGAAGGAGTTGAAACTCGCCTTCAACTTTTCTCACGGTGATCGGACTACTGCTCAGAAGCCGGTGGCACTCAGTTTCAGACCCAGCACGAGGGGACACCAGCGGCGACAGGGCCTTTAGCAGTTTCAAAGCGTCTCGTTGTTCTGCTATGGGGCTGTACAGGAATGTGCTGTAATATGCTTCGTTGTGCTTCAGTTACGTACCTCTTTGGGTGCCTCCAGGGGTGTGGTCTTCGACCTCTGCGCAAGGCAATAAAAGTGCAACTGCCGACATCTGATGTCTCCAGCGCGACACCTTGTTGGTGATCCTGGTGCTCGCCTGGTTTTGGGAACTGGCCTGGTCAAAGAGACTAACGCAGACTACGGTAGCGGCTGAAGAAAATTCGAGACTCAAGGCTGCTCAAGAGCTTGCCTAACTATTCGAGGCTTCTCCCTTCGCGATGCCTGTGAATTCGGTCGTCAAGCTGCGGAGGCTCGAATCATGAGGAGGGTATTGTGAGCAAAAGCGGTGCATTGCTGAGCGGACGACTGCCACTGCAGATATTGCTTCAGCAGCTTTGGCTGAGGAGCCTCACAGCAATGTGACGCCCGAATCAAGTTTGTTCGACGATGTTCCTGCACCGCAGCTGCAGCACTTGTACAGCTTTGCTTAACAGTATATAGTATAACTCTCGCCGGCATGCTTTGCGAGTATAGGCAGCAAGTGCAGCCATCCTTTGCTGCATCATGCTGAGCTAAAGCTGCATTAGATGATCTCGTGTGAGATTGAAGGGATATGGACACAGTCACGCGCCGCGTGGCACCCCTCCAAACAAAGCCTCGTGGTGTTGGTGCCGTGCCCGAGCTGCTCGGGGCCTCATCATGTGACGTGACTAGCAGCTCGGGCATCCGTGACGCCCAAAGCCCCGGCTTCTCCAATTACTCGAGATGATCTTGCGTCACAAGTGACATCTAATGGCCACTACTGCAAGTAGTTCTAAAACTGCACTGCCTTGCACTGCATGACCGCATGCTCTCCCGTCTTCGTGCTCGAATACACCGGATGCTGAAAGAAGCTGACACACAGAGGGCTGAGTAGATTCTCAGAGCCCGCGCCTTTGCTCTAGCACTGAGATCCTGGGTGAGGGGGAGTTCATGCTCACAAGCATAGGACTTCAATGTGAACTTGGCGGCTTCGCAGGTCCTCGGCTTCAGCCAAGCGCATTCGGGCCTCAACAAGACTTTGTTCCAAGTCCTGCACTCACATCATCTCATGTCTGCGAATCTGCGGACATGGCAAGATGGCCAGACTGAAGTTTGACACAGCTGGTCAGAACGCACTTTTCCACTGCTGAATCGATGTCGTCATCTTCTCCATCGAACTGACGTTCGCTTTGGTCAGTAGATGCTGGGCAGGCCTGGACATCGGCGAAAGCCATAGGATGGGCGCATGTGGAAGCTCAACACCTAATGTTCCATGTAGAGGCTTCCAGATTCATGGAATTTTGGATGTTCGGGGGACCGTTGATGATGGAGTATGACAGTATAACAGTGGCCTGAGAGAGGCTCTGAACGAGGTTGCTCCATGCCCTGACCTGCCCAAAGCCGGGGCAATGCGTGCGCCCAGTTTGCGAGTGGTGCCGGATGCGTTGCCTCGGAATCTGTGGCGTTGGTGCGCTGGAGGCTTCGGGCCTTGTAGGCAGCCAGTCCAATGCTAGATGCAAGAGTGCAGCGGTCTCTAGTGGTTCTGGCACAGTCTGCGACCAGCCGGAAAAGCCGATAAGTGTACAGACACTTCCTGCAGGTCAGGACGTGTGTTCAGAGACATGTCTTGAGAACCTCAGAGACCTCTTAGGCTGCAATTATACTCTCAAGGAGTAAAGACTCGGAAAGACTCCACCAGTGCCTGCGCCCACGGCCATGCCAAAGCTCCGCCTGTGGCCCAAAATGGCTTACGAACGCTT